CGCCCGCGCGCCAGAGCGTCATCCACGTGCAGGCGGCGGCCCGGGACGAGGCGTGCGCGCCGACCGTGGGCGCGCTGCGGCCGTGCGCCACGTACCCGCAGCAGAACCGCTCGCTGTGGTCGCAGAGCTACAGCCCAGCGCGCAGCGCGCTACGCACGGTCAACACCGTGGAGTCGCTGGCGCCCGGCGGAGGGGACGCCCCGGGGCCCGCGGAGCACAAGTCGCAGACCTACAGCAACGGCTTCGGCGCAGCCCGCGACGGGCTGGAGTTCGCCGACGCCGACGTGCCGGCCACGCGCTCGAACGCTGAGGGCGGCCGCGGTGGTCCGGGGCCCGCGCAGCGGCGCTGCCAACGGGAGAACTGCGCGTTCTACGGGCGCGCGGAGACCGAGCACTTCTGCTCTTACTGCTACCGAGAGGAGCTGCGGCGGCGGCGCGAGGCGCGCGCGGCGCGACCCTGAGCCACCCAGGACTGCTTTTCCATCCTGTGGGTCTTTTTTTACTTGCTCTGGTCAGCCGAAGGGCCGGCGCTTCCTCGGTCAGTGCCGTGTATGTGTTTGGTCAAACGTTCCTAATGGTGCCTGAACCTACACTGATGCCACTCAGGTAGTAGACGGATAGGAAACAAGTCATACTGTTGGAAATGGGTGTGCTAGCCTAGCATCTGCCTCGTACCTGTGGAAACTCAATAGCCATTGCAAGAGTATTTTTGTTCCTCTATACGAGAAATAAAGAAAATCGCAGCCCTTTGTTTTTAGAAGGGAGTGTTTTACATGCTTTTTTTTTCCCTAACCTAGGGACTGACCTCTTCCAAGTAGCGGTCACTTGCGTGCGGTTGGTGGCACGCAGAGTGTAGAAGCAAACGCGCAGCCCGGCCTGAGGTGGAGCTTCCTCTGCAGCTCCCACCTGCTTCCCACCTGGGTCCCTGGAGACCTCCAGCAGGCACCTTGCTACCCGCTGACGCTGGCCCCTTAGGACTCCCCACCTCCATTTCATAAGCAAACCCTCCTCCCACAGCCTCCCCCCACTCCCGGCTCAAACAACATTCACACTGCCATCCAAGCTGCGGGCGACCACAGAATGAGCACCGGACAACCTACCTCTCAGGGCACGGTGAGGTGTAGCGATCGCTCCCAGAGCCGGGCAGCTCAGGTGACAGGGGCTTCCCAGAGACACTTGGGATGCAAAAAAGCAGGGTCCTGAACTCAAAATCGGATCGGCCCGCCTATGAGCCAGCATGATAGGCTGGTCATAGCTCCTTTGAAAACATATGTACAGTGAACTGTCGCTGGAGGGCCCCTTAGGAGGTGTGATCACATCCGTGCCCCAGAGGAGGGGGCAGAATTGACCCCTTGGTCACTGTGTCAGCCCATTGGGCTGCTTTGAACCCAGCCTAGCCTCCCTTCCATAGGGTAGGGGCTGAGAGAGGCCAAAAGGGAAGGAAACCACCCTTACCCCCACCTGCCTCTGTCAGGATTCAGCCAGGTTAAAGGGCTCTCTGCTAGTGGAGACCCTTCCCAGAGCGGCCCTGCTCCTGGCTCCATGCCACATTGAGGGAGCAGCCAAGTCTCCGAGCAGCCTCCTTTTTGGTGCCTCCTACATTTCTTGAGGAAAATTTAAAAAATAATAATGTGTCCTTAGCTACCCTGTTTGAGCAGCAATATGCAGCCTCTTCCTTCCGAGATTACCTCTGCAGACCACTGTTCTTGGCCAAGGACACTGAGGAACTGGTCCTCACTAACAAGCTGGCGAGCTTGCTTCCAGGACATGGATAAGATGGGTCAAACCCTCACTAACAAAACAATACTTCCATACCTGTGAGAGCTTTAGACTAGCCCCTGATAGCCCAAAAACAAGAGAAAGCACCTGCTTATCCTCAGAAAGCACAGGAGATGGGTTATGCCTTCATTGGAGCCAACTCCTGACAGGATGCTTCATCCCATGACATCCAGAGCAGCAAAAGCAAAAAAATAAAAATTTTCGAAAGATGGGGAGGGATTTTTTTTACTTGTTTGGAAAATTATAATAAAACAACTGAGTATCTCCTGTGAGTAATTTCTTTTTGTTTCTAATTATTCCACAGCCTGAGGAGTCTTCAGTAATGTATTCAAGTTTTGCATAAAGTGGTTCCTTAAATCAGAGTTATTTATTAAATAGAATCTTATAAAAAGTTCTTCTTACTTTTCGTGCTGAACACAATACTTTAAATGTGTGGTGATTAATAATATGTTCTTGATAGTACTAGGGTTTCTTTTTTTACTTAGGAAAAAGAAAGTGATTCTCAAAAAAAAAAAAATAAATCTCTTGCTGAGAGGGTTTGTGGCAGCTTTGGGGGTTGGGGGACAGTTTCTTTTGAACATGACACCTGAGCAGCTGCTTCACCCACCAAAGCTGTAGGTCACAGAAGCCTCTTCGTCCAGCCCAGTAGCCTACTCAGCTCGTCTCTCAAAGCCTGACTAATGTTCCCGTGTGCGTTCCGAAGCCCTGTCCTTATACACTGGAGGTAGACATTCATGTTTGTCTTTCTCATACTGTGATGTTAAAACAGCTGGCTATGAAAATCCTTTATCTTTCTCATGCACTCTTCCAGAAAAGATAGATAGATAAATAAATAAACAAATAAATAAATAGGGTAAATTGAGAATTAACGTAGTTTGTTGTCATAGAGGAATCCCACCCAAACAGGACAGTGGCTGTGTACTCTTGCAGCGTGTTGGCAGACTCTTACCTCCTTCATAACCAGGTTACTTCTCCCTCTTCCATCTTACGATGGATGTGCCATGCAGAAGAACCAAGGGCAGAGATCCCGAAAGTAGCCCTACTATTCTGGCCAAATAAAGGACCCCAGGCCCCTCAGTTTGGACTCGTTGGACTAGATAAGGTGGAGCACCATCTGGGAACCTAATCCAGAGAGTCCCGGTGTTTAAGAATAGCCTTCTGTAAGAAATCCTGCTTCTGTGCAGTATTAAAACAGGGTAAGCGAGAAGGACTGTTCAGTGGGAATGTGTGGTTTCTGTGGATGCACAGCCTGCTTCGTGATGCTCAACAGAGCTGGCTGTCGTGCTCCCTGGCCATGCTCAGTGACTGGAGACAGGAAAGGGTGGCCCAAATTCCCCAACAGCCCTCTTTGACTTGGCAGCCATTTGTGGAGCAAGGAAGAAGAGGATGGCAGGCCCCCAGCTGCTGCGTTGAGAGACACTGCCCATACCAATAGTGAGTAGGCAATAGTAAGCAACAGCAAATGTCCAAAAGAATCCCAGATATTTCTAAACCCCTGTGGAGATTTCTTTAGAAGTTAACTTCACGTTTCCTTCACATGCCATGCCAGAGAATGAGGGGGCAAGAGACATAGTTTTTCAGTCCGTTCTGTTTATAGATTTTATACGCCATTACGTTCAAGTTTGACAGGCCAATTTTAAGCGGACTATAGAAATTACTTTTATATGATTCTCAGAATGTGCCACAGAGCAAGATCTTGCACCATTATTTTCACAGAGGATCTGGAGGTGGGCAGGGCTACACTGTGATTGTGGAGTCTCAGAGATTTTATGTGGAGCCTCTGAAACTGGTACTGTCTAAAGGTCTTCTTTTTAACTGAGCACTTTGTTTTTGATTTGGTTTGGTCTTTTTTTTCCCCCTGTGTATGGGTTGGTGGTGGTGCAATCATTCCTATTAATGAAAACTTTGTCACTAAGTAACTGTGTCCCCTTCCTTACCTGTCAGTACCTAGTGTCACCTGAACCTATTGTTTTACAAAGTTAAGGTTTTCCAAAGTCCCTTATCTTAGAAATTCTGGTAGCTTATTGTCATAAGTAGCTCACCATGACAGAGAATGAAAGAATCCATCAGAATGCAGACCTCAGGGCGTGGGGTCCCCCATGCAGTCCTCAGCCCCAAGTCTCTGGAGCAGAGCCAGCTTGTAAGACATGGCCCTCCCTTAGCATAAGTTGAAAACATAACAAACAAGAACAAAAATGAAACAAAACAAAGAGAGGGTCAAGATTGTAGATATCCATGTTGGGAAATTTGTGGTGGAAAAAAAATGAGGACTGTGCCCCCTCCTTGCATTGTGTGATAGCCTTTATTGTTTATGTCAGGCAGAAGGCACTTAACCCCCTGTGAGGACTTTACATATTCATCCCCTCTGGTGTTCTTTTCTTCCAGGGCTTCTAGTAAGTGAGAAAATGCTTTGGTGTCTGAGTGAGCCAGCTCTGACCTTAACCCCCTTGAGATAGAGGAGTGTTCTGAGCCCCAGCTGTCAGTCTCTCCTGTTCTTGACCCTTGAAGAGAAGCACTGTGAAAAATCCAGATGTGGCTGGTACTCCTGGCACCAGGAAGCAGGCAGGCCCTTCCCCAAAACTTTAAAGTAGCAGCTCTCAAGACCACTGAGTGAGTAGTACCCTTTGCAAAGAGTGAGTAGTCTTTGCTAATGTCACTGGTCCATCGGATGCAGGTCTTCAGGGCAGGGACCTCAGCTTCCTCCTTGTTGGCTTCAGATCCTGCTATTGCCCAGGTTTACTGGGCAGCACCAGTTCTGTTGGCCTAAGGCCTGGTTCTGAAGTGTTCCCTTGGTCTCACAAGACTAGGTCTAAGGAAATTCACTCTAAAGGCCATATACTCCACAGTGATGCTGAGGGGTGTCTTACCCCAGACAGACCTGCACTGTGAGGAAGGCCTCTAAGGAAGACCAGGATACAGGGTTCTCATGACACCTCCCAGCAACAGACGGGATAATCTATGAGAGGTCCCAACGTGGGGTGAGATCTATCCGCACTACACAGGCTGATGCTTTCTCTAAAGACCCAGCCTAAGCCCCACTCCACTGCCAGCAGAGAAGAGTGAGGGGATCGCCCTACGGAGAGAGCGTATGCAATATGTAATTATAGGACAAGCACAGAAGCCATCATCTCCAATCAGTAATACGACTATTTCTAATAATTTTGCAAAACTTTCAAAACGTTTTGTGAACTTTAAAAACAAAGTTCACAAATCCTAATTTTGTATATGTGAAGTGATGCACACCTCTATACTTTTATCCTCCAAAGAGTAACTCAAGGATGTCTGTGTGCATATATATATTCCATCTGACATAAGGTGAAAAATCATAGTTGGTTTTAAGGATGAATATAAATGGAACCTGCCCATAACCAAAGCAACCTGGTAATATATTAAGAGCGAGCAGTGAAATCAGCTCTGTTCAGAATCTCTTTCCACATTCTGAAGGATGGCTTTCCATGAAAATTCAGTTTCCCATAGCATAGTAAAAGCCAAGATCTTACAAAGCCTGCCCAGCCCCAATATGTTCTTGACCAGAGGCTGGGCCATCTACAGTTATCAGCCACCCTCAGGCCCCAGGGCCTTTGTGTGTTATTTCTTCTATTCGTCACTGCCTGCTCATCTTTGCTTCACCACCTTCAGCAAGGCCTTCTCCAACTTTGTTATTTAAGAGGCTAATGCATCC